AAGAGGAGGATGAGGAGGAGGAAGAGGAGGAGGAGGAGGAGGATGAAGAGAAGGAGGACGAGGAGGAGGAGGAGGAGGAGGACGAGGAGGAGGATGATGATGAGGAGGAGGAGGAGGAGGAGGATGAGGATGAGGAGGAGGAGGATGATGATGAGGAGGACGAGGAGGAGGAGGACGAGGAGTAGGAGGAGGACGAGGAGGAGGAGGACGAGGAGTAGGAGGAGGACCAGGACAAGGAGGAGGAAAACAAGGAGGAGGACGAGGAGGAGGAGGAGGACGAAGAGGAGGAGGAGGACGAGGAGGAAGGCCGTTTGTTGTCCTGGGGTGGGGGACTTAGGGCTGTGTGCATTCACATCGTTCACATCGCAGCCCCAGATCTCCGTCTGATCCTGGCCTCTGACCCTGGGCCCCCGGGTGGGGCTGCACCGTCCCGGCTCCGACCCTCGGGCAGAACCCTGCATGGCCAGCAGGGGGCGGCAACGCGTTTCTGCTCTGCACTCCGTGGGTTCAATGAAAGTCCCAGCGACTGTGACCCAGAATGCCCCACCCCCACACCCCAGCCTCAGGAAGAAGATGGGGAAGGAGGGTGGGGCAGCTCCCAGAGGAGAGAGGGCAGGAGGTGGGATGGACAGGTGCCCTTACCTTCCCTCCTCCCGCCCCTGGAGAGAGGACCTGGGACCCCGGTGAGCTGCAGTGCTCTGGGGCGTCAGGTCTGAGGGGTCCGGAGTGCTTACCGGGAGAAGCGACATCTGTCCCCTGTCACCTTCCTTTGGCCTCCTGTTGTCCAAGCCACTGGGACTGTGGATAGACGCCATCCTGCTCCAAGGGCCAAGGGTGGGGAAGTCCTTCAGCGAACACGGCCGCAGACATGGAGGAAAGTGGCTGACCAAAGCCAGCCTGGCCTTGGGGTTCCATTGGGGGCCACCTCGGACTCGGGTGAAGCTGTTTGTGGGCACTACTGGGGAGCCCTGCTACTCCTCGCTAGCCTCTGCCCTCCCGCAGCCTCACGGGGATGACTGACCTCTGCCCTCCCGCAGCCTCACGGGGCTGACCTCTGCCCTCCCCCAGCCTCACGGGACTGACTGACCTCTGCCCTCCCGCAGCCTCACGGGGCTGACTGACCTCTGCCCTCCCCCAGCCTCACTGGCCCTTCGTTGTACACAGAGCACATGGTGCAGGCCTCAGTTCTCCAGCCTGTGAAATGGACATGATGATAGCAGTTAGCTGGTACTTATTATTATTATTAATGATTAGCATTAGTGGTCTAAGGAGGGTTCGCTGTGACAGAGCCTTACAAGAATCCCATGTGCCCACCAACCTCGTTCTCTCGGCCCCCCTCCCCTCTCTTCCCTGCCGCCTTCTTCAAACAGTGACAACAGGGCCCACTGTTCCAGTTTCATGCATAAACGACCCCAGCCATGCTCACCCGGCTCACACTCTCCCTTCGGCACCGGGCTGATACCTGACCCTGACAGAGCCTCTTTCCCTCTCCCGTCACTCCTGTTTTTGGAGTGTGTCAGTCATGCTGAGGAGCTGGGATTTCTGCTGCTGTGGCAGCGTCCAGTGCCTGAGTGGCTGGGGTGGTGCCCAGGTATCGTTGAGGTCAGTGGTCTGGTTGGCGGAATCTGCATCCCTGGCAAGCCCCGGGAACACAGAAGCTGCTGGTGTGCCTGCCGTTGCAGAGACCCTTCATAGCTTCTCTTCTACCCAGGACACCAGCGTCTGGTGTCTCATGTGCCCTTCCTCCAGCATGCCGCTCAGGCCTCCTGCTCCACAGCCTTTCACTGTGAGGAGGCCAGGGGCGGGGAGTTCAGTGGTGTGGCGGGGGGGGGGGTCCAGCACGCCGCTCAGGCCTCCTGCTCCACAGCCTTTCACTGTGAGGAGGCCAGGGGCGGGGAGTTCAGTGGTGTGGCGGGGGGGGGGGGAGCCCGGCCATGTCCACCCCAGGCCATCTCCCCTCCTGCCGTCACGCAGGCCCCAGGCACCTGCTGGGGTGGCACCTGCACGCACCGCTGGGGCAGAGGGTTGGCGCCGTTCGCGTGGCTGCTGCATCCACGGAGCTCCAGCCACTGCAAAGCAGCCTGGAGGCGGGAAAGGAGAAAAAGAGAGGCAAGCCCTCCTCCCAGGCCTCTAAACGGTGGAGTCCACTTTTGTTCCCGGGAGCCGTTGCTCATTCCCAGAGCGCCCGCCCCTCTGGCCTTTCTTGTCGGGGTGGTGGTGCCTCGCTTTCTGCGGGGATGGGGAGGAGGGGCCCGGTTGGGGAGGTCCTTTCCGGGCCACTGGGGAGGACGGGGCAGTAGGCACCTGGGCGTGGAGCAGGCTGGGCACTGGTGCGGTTTCGAGGAGCCCCGTGCCTAGGGGCTCTGGACCCAGATGCATGGCTCTGTGCTGCTCGGCCCTCTCTTCGGGACAGAGCCCCCCACCCCACAGCTGGTACAGACAGGACCACAGGACCGTTAGGGTGTGCCCTGGCCCGGGAAGGGGGCCCCTGATAGGCCACCACAAACCTGGCGGAACAGGTTTCTCCACTGGCGGGGCAGCCGGGAGGAGGCCCGCCCACGCTTGCTCTGCGCCCCTTCGCTGCACACGGAGGCCTGGAGGTATGGGAGCGCTGGGGTGGGGAGTGCGGGGGCCCTCGGAGGAGGGCGGCAGCGTGCGGCCCCAGACCCGGCTGGGGAGGCCCCGGGCCCGGGCCGCAGGCAGGCGGAGGTCTCCAGGGCCGCACTGGGAAGGACCGGTGCCCGAAGTGCCCTCTCAAGGGGCTTGTTGGGCAGAACTGCGGTGCCCGGCGGGCGCGGCTCGAGCCTGTGGTCCCTGGGAAGGGGCTCTGGGCGGTGGGGCACAGGCAGTGACTGGGCTGCCGCGGGTCTTGTGGAGGAAGAGCGTGTGCGCCTCCTGGGGGCTGAGGTGGGCGGTCAGTCACCGCTGGAGGCCGAGGCCTCGGGCACCAAGGAAGAGCTCCCAGCGGAGGGGCCCGGGAGGAGGGAGTGGGCTCCATGCTCACGGGAAGCCCGCTGTGCAGGCGCATGCGGGGCGGGGTGGCAGGCTGTCCCCCGCCCTTGTCCCACTGCATCCACCAGCATGGGGAGGACCCCGTGCCGGCGTGCTGGCCCCGGAGCCCTGGGTGCCAAGCAGGGCCAGTGGGGCTCCGGGGAGGCCGGAGCCCGCGCAGCCCGCGTGCGGGCATTGGAGGGTCAGGCCCGGTTGGGGGGACGGCGCCGAGGGCAGGCTGGCAGGGCGGCTGATAGGGCTGGGGAGTCCCATGGGACCCCACAGGCTTCCTGGCGCAGAGGGTGGGGCCCGTTTCCTCATCTGTCAATCGGGACAGAGTTCCCTCCCCCTGGTTTCCAGGCGGCCCCTCCTGGGCGGCCGGGGCTCAGGAGCTGGCGTTGGCTGGGAGGAGGCGGTGCGGGGTCTGCTGGCCCTCGTTTGTGCCCAGACTGGTGAGGATGGCCGGGGCTGTAGGGGTCTGCACCCCACACCCTCCCCCTCCATGCCAGGGCCCAGCCCCAAGCCTGGCACACTTCACACCCAGGAGCAAGCAAGGAGCCGCCACCCGGCAGCCGTGTGAGCCGGGCGGGCAGCCAGCCGCTGGCCCGGGATGGTTGGGTTCCGAAGCCGTGGAAGGCTGGGTGCTTCCCTGGTCTCATGAGCGTGGAGAACAGCGCGGAGCCATGCGTGGGGGCCTGGGCCCGCGATCTTGGGAAACGCAGACTGGACCATTTGGGCCAAGGGCCAGCCTGGGCCACACGTGGGATCTGTTCTCAAAGACAAGCCGGCGCGGTGGACGCGGGGGCGGGAGAGGCCTGAGGCCCCCCAAACGCAAACCCTGTCTACAGTGCCACTCTAGAGCACTTGCCTAGCAAGCTCTCGCCCCTCATTCAAAGCCCCAGACCGCCGCGAGCCCGGCAGGCCTGCACCGGGGTGCGGTGCCCGGTGGTACCGCTGCCAGGCTCGGTGCCGCCTCCCCGGCCCCCGCGTGTGGCCGCCACCGTGGCTTTGTGAACAGAGCGGGACCCTGGGTGAGGGCCGGCCGCCCAGCACTGCCCCGCTGGCGGGGGCTCTTTGCGCCCTGCAGGAGGCTGCGTGCGTGCGGGGCTCCTGGGGTCCCCTCCTGGGGTGGGGAGGGCGCAGCTCCTCGTCCCTCCTCTCCCTTGTCTGGCGGGACTCTGTGGAGCCTCCGGGGCTCTCCCTGGGTCGGGGGCTGTCTGAGGTTAGCCCAGGCCAGGCCGCTGCTCCTGGAAGGGAGGTGGGCACGGTTTAGGGCCCTGCGGCTGGGCAGGGTGGGAGGAGGGCGTCTGGCAGCAGCGTCGTAGGCCCTCCTGGGCCTGGTGCCTGCAGTCCGGGAGCAGAAGCCGGGTGGAGGGCTGGCGGCGGGCCTGAGCTGAGGGGCTCGTGGGCCTCTGGGAGTCGGGTTGAGAACGAGCTGGGTGAGCAGCGCAGGGGTGTGGGCAGACGGCAGCCTGGACCGTGCAGGAGGCCTGGGCCCCCTCGGTGAAGAGGCCTGGGAGGCGGGAAGATTCAGGCATCGTCTTCTCTTCCTGCTCTCCTCTGACCTCCAGTCTGTGGGGGCACGGGCTTGGGGGCAGAGGGCAGAGGGCAGAGGGCAGCTTCCTCCCAGACCCAGCAGCAGCGGGGACGTGTGAAACTCCCCGAGGAGCCTGGCTGGACCCCGCCGCCCGACTGACTCTCTCTTGCCCAGCACGGGGCAGCGGAGGCAGTTGATCGAGGCTTTGGCTCCTGATGTGACATTTGCCAGTGTTCCCTTCACCAACCAAGTGCCTGCGTGTTTGTCAGTGTCCCCCAGGCCCCGGCAGCCCCAGCTCAGTGTCCGAGAGTGAACTGGGCCTGGAGGCTGAGCTCCAGCCTGTCCCCATCGGCTCTGAAGCCAGGACTGTCTGTTCAGCTCCTGGGATGGGTTGAAGGCCAGTTCAGAGGCCGGGACACGATGTGGACAGGAGCTGGACTGGGAGGTGGTCAGCTTGGACCCTGTGTGGATATTGCCAGAGCCCTGGGCCTGAGGCCTGACTCCAGAGGCTTCAATGTAGGTTTAATGGCTCACTCCCGTACGCCGATGACAGAGACCCATAGTGAGCCAGGCAGCGGTGGCTCACACCTGTAATCTAGCAACTCAGGAGGCTGAGATCTGAGGATCGTAGTTCAAAGCCAGCCCAGGCAGGAAAGTCCAAGAGACTCTTATCTCCAATTAAGGATGCACACACACACACACACACACACACACACTCACAGAAGTGGAGCGTGGCTCAAGTGGCAGAGTGCTAACTTTAAACACAAAAGCTCAGGGACAGCAGCCAGGCCCTGAGTTCAAGCTCCAAGATGGCAGAGAGAGAAAGTGGGGGGGGGGAGGCAGAGAAAGAGAGAGGGAGAGAAAGGGAGAGAGAGGGAGAGAGAGGGAGATAGGGAGGGAGATTATGAACACACTGGCACCTTAGCCCGTCTTTGACGGGAGCTTTGGGTTTACAGAGACTTGGTCTGGAGTGAACCCGGGCACATTAAGCAGCTCCCGGCAAAGCGGGGAGCTCCATGCTTCTCCCAGCTCGGCTCTGGCCGTCTGAGGGGCGCGGTGTTTCCCACAAGGCCTTTCCTGCCGGCTTCTTGCTAGGGCGGCCTACAAGGCTGTACTGGCCTGGGCATGCTTGGGCCCCGGTCACAGAGACGTAATAGATCAGCGCCATCCTTCCTGGACCCTGAGCGGCTGCAGGAGAGGGACGGGCACCCAAGGCGGCGGTGGGGAGGGCGGGCACCTGCCTGGGCAGGGCTCAGTGCCACCGAGCACCCGCAGCCCTGGCTCTTGGGTGTGAGAGAGGTGTGTCCTGCTCACGCTCCTGTCTGCCCCTCTGCGACAGGCCAGCCCTGCTGTTCCCTCCTCCTGCCTGGTGGCCCCGACCGGACTCTACCCAGCTCTGCCTTTACAGCTGGGCTGGGTCCTGCTGGAGTCCACCTTTCCCTCCTCCCTCCTCCCTCCGCTCCTGCTAGCTCCTTCAGAGGTCCTGCGCCCGCTCCGGAGGCCCGGGACCTGTCCCTGTCCCCGCTCAGCCACCCCAGGCCCTGGCTGGCCTGGACTCCAGCCTGTTGCTGAGGGCGTCTGCCTGTGGACAGGGCGATGGGCAGGGCTGGCCGCGGGGCACCCACCCAGCTGGAGAGAGAGCAGCACAACCAACCTCCTCCGGGACAGGTCAGCGAAGGAGGAAGTGAGGATGGATATGGGTTTCCCAGGACGCTGCAGCCCCCTCTCCCCCCCCCCCCATTAGCTCTCATGTGCTGGCTCCGGCCCTCAGCCAGCATCAGCTCCTGTGGCGGTGAAGTCTGTCCCAGGGCCTTTGCACATGCTGCTCCTCTGCATATGCTGCTCCTCATTACCAGTGTGCGTCTTCCCTTGGGGTGAAGCCGAAGTCCAGCGGGCTCCAGTCCCCTCTGAGCCCCACAGGAGCTCAGGAAGATCCAGTTAGGAGCCCAGGGACAGAGGGACAGGCCCCACCTCTCCCTCTGCTGGCATGTGTTCCCCAACACTCAGGACCCCACCCAGCCAGTTGTGAGCCGCTGCGCTTGCTCGGAGCCTCTGCCCCGTTTGGTGCTCTGAGCAAGCCCGTCTGCTCACCCTCTCCTCCAGACCTTAGGCCTTTAGTTCCACTGGTGCTGGAGAGATGGAGCTCGCCAAGTTCGCGTCTGTACATCTCCAGCTTCTGTGGGCTCAGCTTGGAAGGCGGGGTGGGGGTGGGGGGAGGATGTCAAGGCCAAGCTGGCGTGTGGGGCCTCTCCGGGGGTGGGCATCATGGCTGAGTGCCCCTTTGGTCCCCTGCCCCACGCCAAGCAACAGCCCTGGGCTGGGGGAGGGAGGCAGAGGCCAGGGTCCAGCGTGTGTCCAGCCCAGGCCTGGCTTTCCTGCCCCTCAGGAAAACTGAGGTTCTGGAAGCTTCTCGTGTGCACAGCATAGCCTGCAAGCCGAGCTCTGACCGTGGCTTCCTCCTCCCCAGCACTCCAGGGCTCCTCCGCTGGCTGATGCGCCGCTCTCTACCACAACGGCGGGCGCCGGCTCTCGGGGGGCCCAGCACCCGCCACGGTGCTTTGCTTGTGTCCCCCAATACAGGGGATCACAGCATGGCAAATACTCTAAACAATGACCCGCAGTGACCGAGGCCACTGTCCCTGGATCTCTCCCCACCTTCGTGCTCAGGTCCCCAAAGAGCTTTTTTTGTGTTGCTCGCGTCCAGGAGAGCTGCAGCGGCTGGGGCCAGCTTGTAAGACTTGATGGTTTCACCCCCAGTCATTCTGTGAGCTGGTGGTTGAGCACAGCCATTATTAAAATCAAATTAAACTAATTACATATGTAAAACACACAGATGACTTGAAAACAAAGGTAGCCAACCCTGGAGCGGAGCACTTCCTAATTATTTCCGCCCGGTGAGCCACGCTCTTGTCGAGACACTGGCAGAGGAAGTGCGGTGGGATAGCTGGCCTCTTCCCAGCCTGGCGGTGGGAGCCGACGCCGGCTGGGGGAATGTCTACCCCCAGGACGCAGACGCCTCCCTCCCTGGTACGCCTCTGCAGCTTGGGGTTCCCCCCTGGCCAGCGTGCCCAAGGTCCACCATCTCAGGCCTATCACTGTGGAAACCCAAAGTGCTGTTGGAACAATTTTTATTTGTGGAGTCGTGTTAAAAATAACAACAAACCGGTCACATGTAAATATAAATAACATTTAAGACGTACTTGTGCACATCAACAAAGAATAATAATCCAGGGAGAAGAGTGACATGTTTTCCTTTTTTTTTTGTGGTTGCAAATCTCTCCAGCATCTGGCGTGGAGAAGACAACTGGGTCCGCTAGCTGCGTCTGCTTCCATCTGTCGCAGTGTGTTGTTTTGGTTGAAGTATGTGAAGAAATGTGGCTTCACACAGATCCGGGATATGTGTTCTCTCTGGTGCCACGCGCAGCGGGGAGCCAGGGGGTGCACCCCGAAGCGATCTGTGCACTTCGGGGATTTAGCCAGCGACACATCCGTTGCTCCGTTTCTTGCTTTGGTTCTGGAACATGTGTGTGGTCACCTGGAAGATGGTGGTTCACCAAATGAGGCCGCTTCCCCCACCCCCCAAACGTGGACACATTTCATTATACACCATCTAAAAACATCCTTCGCGGCAGCACCGACTGATCTGGTGAGCAAAGCCGTTGCCTGTTTGCACGCCGACAGGCTCACAGCGGTGGATACACATTGTACAAAGCCCCAATTTTCACATGAGCTTGAATTTTATCACCGGCACTGAGCCCCCCCCCCGTTTCCTCTCTTTTAAGTGGCAGGCTTCTGGTTTTTTTTTTCCTTTGAGATGAGGTTTTGCTGTGGCCTCAAACCCTAGCTCCAGGGATCTTTACCCCCGGCCTCCTAGGGAGCTGGGACTGCAGGTGTATCCACAAGCCTCGTGTGTGCTGGTCCTAGGGTCCTGAGCTTTTTTTATTCAAGGCTAGTGCTCTACCACTTGAGCCACAGTTCCACCTCTAGCTTTTTGCTGGTTAATTGGAGATGAGAATGTCCCAGACTTTCCTGCCCAGGCTGGCTTTGAACCACGATCCTCAGATCTCTGAGTAGCTAGGATGACAGGCGTGAGCCACCACTGCCTGGCTGCTTCTTTTGCTT